GAATCTGACTAATTTATTGGTAGCCTAAATATAGGCATTTGCGACCATTTTTAACTTTAACTCTTTAAATTGGGTAATGTTTTATATGTTGGTTGGATTTAAGTTACAAACTGACAGTAAAATACATCCTTTGTTTTGTTTTTAAACTAAAAAGTCTTTGAACGCATCCTGCCATTGAAGCCCAAAGAAGAAGACGACATAATAAGAAGAAAAGAGAAGAAGAAGAAGAAATATCAGTAATGTTTTCGGACATGCGCAGATGGGAGATTCCATATTGAAACGGGGGCAGCAGCAGCTGAAAGACGTCGCTTTGCTCTCGAGCTGAACGCGAACGAGGAGCGGAGGGAGAGGAGGGGAAAAAAGAGACATAAAGGGGGTCTCTGGAAGAAGAGGAGAGGTGACAGGAAGGGGAGGAAGAAAAGAACTCGGACAGGTAAGACAGGTGACGACTCGCGCTGTCTTCTGAGGTTTCTCCGGGTTTTTGCTCGTGCTGATTTGGTCGACTGTAAGCACGCGCAGAGTTATTTTCCACCCCCCGCGGCTGCTCTTTAAAGCCCCCCCGAAGTGTTTTCGGCTCGTAGCAGCGACTTAATACAGTCCAAGTAGTTTTAAAGTGTCACTGTTAACTGCTCGGCTTTCACCGGCGGACAGGACGTCGTCACGTCGAGCTCGAGGTATAAATATCATTTCTTGTCTMTTTTAAACTGAAAGTCTCGTGAGAACAAACAAGAGTTTTAACATTTATCACAGAAAAATGCGTCATTTATAACGCCTCTCAGTGGCTGCGATGTCATTTTGTTTTGTGTAAACTCGAAAGTTGGTCCTGAAAATGCGAAATAATTGGGCCACTTATTTCTGCGTTTTTTTTTTTCCTCGTTATTCGTCACCTCTGTTTAAGATTCGTAAAGAAAAAAAAATAAAACATCGGAAAATACCGGACACTGTCAAAATGTCAAAAGCACTTTCAACATGGCGGGTTATAAATGGTGTTCGTGCACGCGGGGAGTAAAAAAAAAACAAAACAAAACTGCGACTTCAGATCTTTGAACGAGGAAAAAACCAAGCCGTGGCCCGGAACGAGCCCGGTTCGGTTTCTTTTGATGGACACCGACGATTTTTAGTCAATTAAATCTGAAGTGCGCGTTTGGCGACTTCGTGCGAGTTTTTTTCCGCTGCAGTTTTGAACTGTGCAAAGTCTACATGACCGGGGTGGCAGCAGCAACACACACACACACACACACACACACACACACACACACACACACACACA